GGTGGTGGAGAGGATTGCTGCGGTGGTGGTGCAGAGTTGTACCCGTGATGTCCACCGCCGTGGCCACTCTGATGACCGCCTTGATGTTGGGCGCCTCCATTTGTGCCAGCACCGGCACCCTGCCCAGGCGAACTGGGACCAGTGCCGGGCGAGCCGCTTCGAGACGAGCCTTGGTTGCTGCCAGTGCCTTCATTTGACTGTGGGCCGTCGTGTTGTATTCGGCCCAATGACCACGCTCCCAGTCCGACGGCGATGACCAGCATTGCCAACCCTACGTTTCCCATGCCCTGAAAGTTGGCCCACCAGGCGCGGAAAGCGGGTGCCATGCTGTTGCCGAGTGCGACAATAGCCAAGGCACTCGCGAAGCCGGCAACAAAGCTGTTGATATTCGGCCGCATCGAGGGGAGGTATATGAAGCCGGAACCGGCCGAGTGTTCTGGGATGACAAAGATGTCATAGTTGCCCGGCGGTAGTCCGCTGCCGCCGCTTCCGCCCGTTGTCTTGGGCGCCTCGCCATGCGGCGGAGGCGGGGGCGGAGCGCTCATTTTTGGGTAGGACGCAGTCGATTCAGAGTGTTGGCTGCTGGACGGGGTGCCCGACGGCGGTGTTCTGGTGGGTGAAGCAGGGTCTTGACCAGGTCAAGATTACACCGAGAGAGTTGACGAGACGGGTATTTGTTGTCGTCAAGCGGGCTTGTTGGCCGTGCGAATAGAGCCTTTGGTCTGGAGTCGACTGGCTACGTTTAGAGAAGTTGTGGAACGAGACGAGGATCGTGCGAACACAGTTGAGAGCGGAGGAGGATCGAGATGAGAGCTTTGTCGAGACCGAGGAACTCGAAAAGGAAAGTCTAAAGGTATCTATGGTAGGTCATGCAAGAGGTGGAGTAAGCTCGACGTGAGATCGCGACAGGTCGTGAGAGAGAGTATTGCAGAGAAGTCTGGTGAAGCACGAAAGACAGGCGTTAGCTTGTTGGTCTCACAAAAGCAAGGTACCCGATGCAGGTCCGCAACTTGGCCGCGTTCTGCCATCTGGCCGTACTGGCACACAACGTCAAGGCTAAGCCAGACTGCTTTGGCCGTGACGATGACAGAGTCAGGGAAGGGTGAGGACGACGAGGAGGGTACTCACGCAACGTGGAGGAACGCCAGGCACCGTTGGAAATGCGAGAAGAACAATGTGAGAATGAAAGAACAGGCAAGGACAAGCAGCAACACGCAAGACAATTGCAATCGGCTGGCCTGGCAAGGATTAAAAGATGAGTATCAAACGAAGAAGGGGGACATGCAAATGCTACCGAGTCTTTTTTTGGGTCCGGTTTGTCGAGATCTAGGAGAAAGAAAACAAAGAAACGAGGAGTCAGCATGGAGAGCAAGGAGAAAGTTTGAGAGATGTGGCCCGGCCCCAGAGCAAGAGGGAAGAAAAGGGCCACGGAGTCAACGGAACCGAAAGAGGAAAACAATGGGGAGGGTGGGTCGTGGACAATAGCGACGGCCATGAAGACGACGGGCGACGACACAGACGACGGCAGAGATGTCGACAACGATGTCCACACCAAGAGACCCTGTCGAATGAAAGAGTGGCTTGCCTCGCGGGTTTGTTTTGGCTGCACACACTATTGGAGAAAAGCTGGCAATGTGGGACGATCGTGAGCCACTCTGCGTTGTTCTCTGGGGGGGTGTGGTTGAGCAATGCGTCGAGTCGGGGGACGGTACGAATAGTCGACGAGAGGGAAGTCAGCGAGGGTGGCGACGGTGACGAAGGCGACGAGGATTGGCGAGGAAGAACGAGGATTGACGAAGATTGACGAGGATTGACGACGACGGCGACGAGAGCGGAAGAAAGAGGGTCGCAGACGCTGGATCGCTTCGTTGGGCGAGAAACGGTGGAAGAATGGAGTCGAGACGGAGACGAGGAGGGAAAATAGAGGACCACCTTACCTTTGTTGCGAGGGAATGGAAGTGGAGGCAAAGAAAGGCACAAGAGGGTCAATTTTAATCTGTGAATAACGGACGGGTCAGGATTCGGAAAGGAGTGACAAAAAAGGGGCGTGCAATTGTTCTTGCCCGAAAGAGAATGGGCTATGCTGTCGACGAGGAAAGAAGACAGAAGTGCATGCTGCGGCAGGTGCGACACAAATGCAACGAAGCTCTTACCTTCGAAATGCGCAGTGCTCCTTCCCACTCGATGCTTTGTGGCGTTGTTGCTTCCTTCCTCTCTCGTGTGTTTGTGTTTACTTTTGTGGTGGGTTGCCGACAAATAGGCAGCGTCCGTCTCTCTTTAGCAGCACATGGGACAGTAAGCGGGGCGCGCTAGTCGCGGGTTTGCGCGTAATTAGTGGACGTTTTCTGTGTTTTCCATTGAGCGTTTTTAGGTGTCTGTCGAGCGCTGTCAGTTTGGACAGGCCCTAGAAAGGAGAAAAGCGGAGCTGAAACAGGCTAGTGTTGAATGGCAGGACCTCGAGATGACCTCGACTGGACCCCTAGTTTGACTTTCTTGGTTTATTTTGACAGTTGCTATGAAGTATCTTACATCGTAAGATACATCGTATGGATGGCATTGGACGGTCTCTGTAATGGTACCGTGAAGTCTTTCAAGCAGGTAAGTTGTCAGCTTGTGCGTCATGTTAGCAGTAAGTTATCTTCCAACTTGACGCGCTGTCATTTCTGAATAGACAAGGACCTGAATTCGATAAGAAGGACTCAAATTGTCCGTGGCAAGGCAATCTTCGGTATATGGATAAAAACATGTCTGCACCTGGGCCAGCTTCATTATCGACCGTGTCTCTCTTTGACTGCTGTCAAGCATGTAGAACCTGAGCGTGGCAGGCGTTCTCTTCGGGTGGCCAACCGGAGCGGCGCCATTTGTTATGACGGGTCGTTTTAGGCACCGGTTTTTAGTTACTGTGACACGGCTGTTGTGGAAAGCCAGGAGCTGTGTGAATAGCAGTGACGGACGAGCATCCTGGACATCGAATTGCTGTGCTTTGCCAGTTCACCCACAGCGTTTCACTCCGTTTTGTCTCGGTTCGTTGCTGTTCCCCTCTCTTCTTGTATCGTGCATCACGACTAATGCGCGTCGTGACGATGCATATCGTGGCCGTGGATTTGACTGGTCGAAGCGGTAGAATGTCAACAAATGGCTGCAGAAGCTATGCAGAAAGTCAACAAACCAGTGCTGCAAGCCCGGTCGAGAACCGAAAAGCACGGAAGTCAAGGGAACAAGCGGTCAATGTTGGAAGGGAAACCGCGTCACGACAACGGTTTGCAGCCAGGTGAACAGAACATCGTGAACCGTTCCGCCGATGCTCTTTGCCAATTTTCGTCCCGCTCCAAAAGACAAAATGCCTAAACTGGTCGTTGTCTTTCGTTGTACCGTTGTACCGGTGGCTGTTCCTACCACCAGCACCCAAATTTACAATGCAATATATCGCAACCGTTGAAAAAGAGATTGCCTACCGCTGCCCGAACGAACACGACCGTGCCCAGGCAACCAGTCAAAACGGACAGTACAAATATTCTGTAGACGGTGCAGGGGTCCAAGGGGACGAACAGGTCACATCTTGGCCAAAAACTTGTTGTTTTCATGACCAATATCTCATCCTACCAGCCAGTCGTTTGTTACCGAAAGGGACGAAAATCGTCTCGCTTTCTTCTCGTCGTGCACTTGTGTCCTTTTCCTGGGCTCTCTTTGCCTATCAATCCGCCTGTCACAGGGATTCTTACAGGGAAGCAGATTTTAGGAGATGTGGTGGCGCGCCAGACGCCTGTCACAGCCAGCATTGCAATCGAAAACATAATGTTCTCGAAGAACAGATGTTTTGCGCGCGAGCTTGCTTCATTGTTTCTGACAATCTTGCTTGCTTCCTTTTGACATTAGGCCTGCGCTAAATGGAAAGGCTCCACTACGTCACGCCGTGTTCGCTGTCCATAGTTATCTCGTTGCCTAGCAACGGACGCGCTTTAGGTCCATTTTGGGCCAACGTGTAGCCAACTCTTTGCATCCATTCATCGCCCGGGACGCTCCTTTCCTCTTTGAACCCGCCGGAACACAAACTGGGCACAGAAGAACAAGTCGAAGTCTAAGAAACAAGACCCTTGCTCGTTTTGAAGCTATTTCCTAGGCAATATGTGGTGCCTTTGGTGAACCCTGAGTCCATGACAAAGGAATGTTCCAAGTATTTAATTCCGCGCCGAATCGGGCCGGCGCCGCCGCTTTTCTGGCCCCCAAAACCAACCATTGACAACCAGTCTCGAGTATTGTTCAGCTTCCGCACTCCGTGCAGGGTGTCAGGTTCCCGTACTCCTGACATCGACAGCAGTAAACCAGTCATGCTTGACTCTTTCGTTGGCTTCCCACGGCCACATTTACGAAAATACATGTTTCATTCATAGTGACCGGTATGCAATCAAGTTCTGTTTAGTTACATAGTCACAACATTCCCAGCACATTGTATGACGTATATATGTGGACTAGGACGTGCTACAATCAACTGTTGTTACCGCCCTGTCAATGTTGCAGATAGATGGCAGGTAAGGATTTGGGACTGCCCACAGCTGGCTCGCACGGACAGTCCTGCAACATCAGACAGCTGATCGGTGGCTGGTACTTTGGCAAAGAGAACAGTAAAGGCTTGTCGCACAGATTTGGGAGGGTAGAATAAATTGCATGCATATGCAAGATGGATCATCCCGTCCCATCCTTATGACGTCGCTGGAGGTCGTGTGCAGCATCACGTATTCTGAAGACTGGACAAGTCAAATGGTATCAAAATAGTCGCAGTACGATTGCTATGGTCCTGTTTAAATACACAGGGCATTTTTGCTTGCTATGCCGGCCGAAAACAAATGGGATCTCCCCGATGTGGAAGAACATGCGTCGAAGGAGAAAAGAGCCAACGTGACTAAGAACAGACGGAAATAGAAATCCAGTAGAAACACCAAACAGAAATGACTCAGGAACGCAAATGTGCCTCGCAATGTACAGACTGGCTTGTCCCCCGGTCAATTCAACCGCTTGATGCGGTCTTTAGCCACCTTCATCTTACCCTGCACCCGGTCCGTGTCGTCGTTTAGTTGCTGCAGCATCGGCGCCTGCAGGTCGACCTCCTCCTTGATCGCCAGGCCCAGCTCCCGCTGCCTCTGTACTATCTTGGCCAGCACATTGACCTCTTCGTCCTGGTCGGCCACTTTTTGTTTTTGCAGCTGCAAAACATCATCGTTGTTCAGCTCTCGGGTCTGGTCCGTCTCGGGTAGCGGCGCGCCCAGAACGCGGCCGCCACCAAACGAGCGGCCGTTGCCATTGCTGCCACCGCCCACAGCGGCGGATCCAAAGAGGATGGCACGATCCCCTGTAATGGGTGCCGCCCCCGAGCCGGCGATGCTGCCACCGTGGCCGCCGCTGCCGCCTTCACCATAATTGGGCCGTGCACTCGCGAGACTCGCACTCAGCGTCTCCAGCCCATCCCGCTCCACGCGCGCCGCCGCCAGCAAGTCCCGCCGTCGTCGCAGCTCGCCCTCGCCCAGCCGCTTTGTTTCTTGGAGCGTCTTGAGCCCCGTCGTGAGTGCCGTCAGCAGACTCCCCGTCTTGACGAGCTCGCGCTTGGCCGCCGCACCGGCCTCGGCGGCGCCCGACGACACGCCGCTGCCGCTGCCACTGCCTGCTGTCAGCGCGGCATCTCGCCGCGCCAGCTGGGCCCGTGCCTCTTTGAGCGCGCCTTTCATCTCCTTGTGCAGGTCGATCCAAGTGCCGGGGTCGCTCGCCGCTGCCGCGTTGGCTGCGGCCAGCCCAATGGTGGGTAGGCGACTCTCGGCGGACGCTGCTGGTGTGCCGTTCTCTCGCCTCGCCGGCACGATGCCCTGGTTGCTACGCCCGCTGGCCGACGACGAGCCGGCGCCATTCGCGCTGGGCAGGTTCAGGAACGCGCGCCAGACGCTGGTGTCGCGCCACCGGCGGTCGGGGGATTCGGCGATGGCGCGGAGGTAGGCCTCGAGGCCGACGCGGCGGTCTTCGGTGAGCTCCTGCGAGGCAATGGTCGATCGGAACCAGGATTTCCCTGGGAGTCGTGACGGTGGTGCTTCACCGACGAGGCTGGTAAGGTTGACATCGAGGGCTGCAAACTCAGAGTACCGTTTTTGGAACACATAGGACCGCAGGGGAAGTCGGAGCGTGATGTTGTAGAGTGTGTAGGCCTTTTCGCCGCCGGACGCCGCAACAGCAGACGTTGTCGGGATGGAGATCTCAATGGGCGGCGCCATGGAGGGCGAGGTGGGAGTTGTTGGAATGCCGATGGTATGAAGAGAGGACGTCGAATGAGGCAAGAAAAGCTCTCCAAGACAGGCGACTCAAGTGAAACCGGCGATGCCGATAGATTGGAGAAGCGAGGACCAAGCGAATGAAGAAACAATGACGAAAGCTCTCGTGTTTAAAAGGGATCCAGAGGGTCGAGTCAGGAGACGCGGCATGCGCGGCACAGGTGAAGCGAAAGAACAACGAAGCGAACTATACGAACAAAGACAGCGGGCGATCCGGGCTGGAGATTGATGGTTAGTGATAGCTCGGAGTCGTCCGTTTGGATGTCGCTGGGTGACAGTCGAGATATATAGCGATCGAGAAGCAGTACGGTCGTAAATGGAAGCGCGTCCCGGATTCGAAATGAAGAACGAAGAAAGAAAAGCAGGAGGATACATGCACAAGAAGAGAGAGTGAGGAGAATGGGAGCCTTGACCACAGCCTCTATTTCGTTTCCAATAGGACGAGTCACCAGGGCCTCGAATGTGTTTCCCAAGACGGCAGAAAGTGGAGATTCAGGCGGCGAACATCGACAGTGCTCTTGGAAATTGGTTGCAAGCAGCTTAGCGCCATTTTTGGCAAGCGGGCGGCTAGACCGGCCTTCCCAGCAGCATGTCTTAGCGAGTGAAAACCCTCTGACGTAGCTGAAAACGCCAAAAATGTCTACTAAAAGCCGCTAACAACCGCTACGAGGCTTCCTCCTTCACCTGTTTCCTAAACGGTAGGGATGCCATCGGTGCTGCCCGATTTGGATATCAGTGCGGTGTCACGTGGTGCCATTTACGCGTGAAATCTAGACAGCGATCGAACAATCGGCGGCAGCCAATAAAAGAGAAACGTCACGCATACTGATGCAGCCTCTATTATTACTCGGTCATATCGTGTTTTTCATCAGTGCCTGATGCGCCTGATACCTATGCACGCCAATGAATGGTGGCAGCGTTGTCACCCCCGACTCGTCTTCATCCGCCTGCAATCTCCATCTTTTCGCGGAGCTCTCCAAAGCACATCATACCAAGGGACATACCGCCCGATACAAGACGCCCAAGGTATAGTAGTAAAAGAAAAAATATCGTCCTCCCTTTTGTCACTCCTCACAAGTAGCTGTTGCTGCCTCGGCCGGCTGCTCCGAAGTCGGCTCCGTCGTCGGAACGCCCACAATGTTTCGGATGCAGGTCCTGGCGCGCCGTGGGCGTGGCGAGGTCTTCGTTCCAGTCACCTAGAATGTCTCCTGGTCGTCGAGACCGGCCTCCTCGGCAGGGATCTCAAAGCCCTCCTCGGTCGAGTACAGGATCGTCTGGATGTGCTTGACGAGGCCATCCTCCTGCTTTTCGAGCTCCGGGTCCTCCTCGACCGCCTGCTGGATCAGCAGCTCAATGTCGCGCAGCTTGCTAAAGTAGAAATCGCGCTCGCGCTCGAGGCCCACCACGGTCTCCTTAAGCGTGTTGTTCTCCTGCTGCAGGGCGGCCGAGCCGGCGCCGGCGCCGCCCACGGCCTTGCCGATCCGCGGCCCTGTTGTGGGCGTCGTGCCTCGCCGGACGGCACCTGCTGAGACGGGCGCGCGCGCAGCGCCACCGGCCGAGACTGGGGCGCCCTTCCGCCGCGCGACGGCATCGTAGTCGCCGCCAGGGTAGTGCTGGTCCCAGTAGCGCTTGGTCCACTGCAGGAATTCGAGGTTGTCCTGCATCTTGCACTTGACGAGGGCCTGGACGGGGATGGGATGGTCGACTTGGTGCTTCTGGAAGCAGCCTATGCGGGTTAGTCGGGGGACCTTGGGAACGCTCCCTACACTACATATCATTGTACGCCTTGTCCGTCCTGCACTCACTTTGTAAGACTTTGAAATTTTGTATGTAGGCATATTCCGTGTTGACGTTAAACTTGACGCGCGACATGGGGATGTCGAGGAAGATGCTGTCGAAGACCTGGCACAGGGCGGCTCTGGAGACGGAGGACATGACGGTCAGCGTCTGGGATCGCGATACACGCCTAGCCGCTCACGGGGGACGCAGCACAACTTACCCTGTTCCACACTGCTCGACCTTTGTGACGTTGAGCTGCAGGAGGCTGTTCAGCCATTGCACGAGTTCCTGTCTGTGGGATGTGGTCAGCAAGGAGAGCTGTCAAACACCAACAGGCGTACGCCATCATGCGCTCAGACCACCGCCGTGCACGTCCTTGAAAGAAGGAGCGCCGGAAACGAACCCTGATCGCACGAAGGTTTTTGTTCGAGTAGTCTTCGGGAACGCGGTGAGGAAGTGCGTACCTTGATTCACCCATCGTTGCGGCTAGCAGCGACACGAAGGAAACAACAGAGGAGAGAGAGGAAATATGCCGTCAAGACGAAAGCCGGACAACAGAAATGTTTGGGGTGCGAAAGCGAAAGCAACAAACGCTAGATGACGCAAGTGACGTTAAAGGGGGGCAAGAGGATGTCGCGAAAGGAAAAAATCGAGAAGGGGTATCGTCTGTCGTCGGCTCGTTGGCAGTATTACCGTTTGCGGGAGGGTGGTAAGGGATGTAGAAGAAGTTAAATCTCGAGATGGGGCTCGTGATAGAGGAAAAGGTGTGGTAGTTACTTCCGGTTCGCGAAAGGCAGCAGAGGCCTGAAAATGTTGACGGCAGAAAATATGAGGAATTCCACAGGTTCGCCTGTCCAGTCCCTTCCTTCCGCTTCGGTTCCCAGGCAATCGAATTTCCATCATCGGCCTCGTCCAATCAACAAAACAAGCCAGCTCAACTACAGTGGGGTTGTGGCACATCCCCCCTGCTTCCCCTGTTTTCCAACCGGACGGGCAGCGGCAGACGACCGAGCCACTCTTTTCCAGGCGGTGTTTTTATTTATTTATTTTTGACAGTTCGTCGCCCCTGCAACAGGTTCCCCTCCCCCGTATGGTGCCCCTCCTTTATTGGTCCGTGCGCAGTGTCATGCACGAAGTCACGTGTCGAAAATATGATGAGTCCCAAATTTGGCTTCAGGGCGCATAGGGCATTGGCACGCTATTCTTGACGCTAACTCCCTGACGCAGACTCTTCAGCCTTCTCTTCCAACAGACCAGGATGATAACAGGCACAGCCTCGTCACGGACACGTATACACGATTTCACTAATTTCTTTTCTCTTCATTTTCGTTTTTCTCTTTTCTTTTCTTTCTTTTCTTATTTTTTTTTAAAAAAAAATAAAGGCCTCGTCTTGTAAATGAACGAATTATATGTGTTATCAACATCTTCTTTAAGAAAATTTGAAAAACGTTGACAATTCCCTTATTTATATCAAAGCACGGCGTTGACACGTCTGGTTTAGGATATGGAATACCCCATCCCATCATCCGCTTTGTTTTGAACTGATCATGATCTTAGCTCATATTGTGAACTCTCCTTGCTACAGACAAAAGCGGACGGAAGCATTTAAGGTCCAGGTAAGGCTTGACAGTCACATGCTCATAGCGGTGTTGAACCTCTTCATATGGCTCAACTTGTTCTATATCGGCCTCCACTAGATGTTGCATTATAATATAATGGAGGAAGGACTGCATGCCCGAAACAAACACTCCAGGGCCATGGAACACGCGATGTAAATCCGTCATCAGGTAGATATGCACCAGTGGGCAAACACCCCTGCCCACCTGTACACAAGATCATACATATGGGCGGAAAAATAAAGTTTCTGGTGTCGCCAATATTTTTAGGAGATTTTTGTAATATCCTTCATGCGCCTTACGCTACCAGATGACCTCTTTGCCTGAGAAATGGTTTTTACGCAGCCTAAACCCTTGACAAATTATATAGCTATTGTCAGCGATATAGAGAAAGTAAAATGCTTTGATGTATCTTATACGTATTCAATTCCGTGGACTTGTCCTGTGAGCCCCTTTGTCATCGTCTTTTGCGTTGTCCCTGTCATTGACTTTTGTTGTCGGCGCTCCTGAAGAGGAAATCTAAGTCCGACTAGTCCTGTTTGGGAATTTAAAATCCGACTCCAGCACTTCCTAATGGGGCAGCCGCTGGGTGGTGTAACTTGATTGGCCTGGAAAGAACGACCTTCGCTCTTGCCGATGAATATACACATGCCACTTGTCTGACAAACGACCGTTTGTCGCCTTTGATGGATCGGGGAGGAAAGTGCAACCGTCCTGATGCTCTGTGCACCTTCCTCCTCCATTGACCCAGAATGTGCGTCGTCGAATGGGGGTAAATGTCTCCCCATCGCCCGTTTGCTGAGAAAACCAGCTTCTTCACGATGCACACCCTTCCCTTTTCCTAATTTATATTCGATGCTCACCAAGACATCGTTTTCCCTTTCCCAATAATATTGCACCTTTAGCTCACGTCTTTTTCTATTTGGGTCTCATTTCTGCTCTCCTTTACTCAGGATATTTCCACTTTACTTTTCTTGCAACCATCATCTCAGACCTTCACATCTCAAGACGACCCGTGTCGCTTGGCTTTCACTCTACAACAGGACACGTACGATCATCTAAATATTCAACCATTTAACAATCGATCGGCCTTCTCAGAAGCCAATCCGCTTCTCTTCAATTGAACCCGTTTCATTAGAGCCGTCTTCTATTCGACATACCCCATTCATATCCCGTCCCGTGTATCTTCTTTTCAACCACAACGTAGCCGACAAAGACCATACCAGAAATGGCGTCTCATCAAGGGGCAAAGCCCACCTCGGATAGGGACATGGAAGCTAACACCCTGAATGATCCCTCACCGACACGCTTGTCCGGTGCAGACGCTTCGGGTGCAGACACTTCCGGCGCCGATAGCATCGGCGAAAAGCCGGCCACTATTCCGGGGGCTGCACCTGCCGCGCCACCAGGACCTCCTCCACCGCCCAATGGAGGCACTCGCGCATGGCTGCAGGTTCTCGGCGCCTTCTTCATCAACTTCAATACCTGGGGCATCGTCAACTCGTACGGCGTTTTCCAGTCCTACTACTCGGCCAATTTACTGGCCACATCTACCGAGTCGGCCATCTCGTGGATCGGCAGCATCCAAGCGTTCCTCATGCTCGTCATTGCGGTCTTGTGTGGCCGAGCCCTCGATGCAGGTTACTTTTACACGGACATCCTCATCGGCTCGTTCCTCGAGGTCTTTGGCACCATGATGACCTCGATCTGCAAGGAATACTGGCAGGTCTTCTTGGCCCAGGGCATTGTCGTGGGCATTGGTGCCGGCATGGTCTTCATCCCCGGCGTCGCCATTGTCGGCACCTACTTCTCGACGCGCCGCGCCACCGCCATTGGCATCGCGGCCACCGGTTCGTGCATTGGCGGCATCATCTACCCCATTGCGCTGCGTCGCCTCATCATCAACATCGGCTTCGGCTGGGCCGTCCGCGTCATGGGCTTCTTGATGCTGGCCACGCTCATCATTGCCATTGCCGTGATGAAGCCGCGCCTGCCGCCGCGCAAGTCGGGGCCGCTTATCAACTATGAAGCGCTACGCGACCCCACGTTTGCCATGTGGCTCGTCGCCATTGTCTTCTCGTTCATCGGCCTCTACGTGCCCTTTTTTTACGTCGAGCAGTACGCCACCCACATCGGCATCGACGCCTCCACGGCCTCATACATGCTCATCATCATCAACGCCGCGTCCATCCCCGGTCGCATTGTCCCGTCCATGCTCGCCGACAAATTTGGCAACATGTCCATTCTGATGCCAGCCGTCTTCTTCTCGGGTGTCATCACGGTGGCCTGGATCGCCGTCCACGACGAAGCCGGGATTGTCCTGGTGTCCGTCTTTCTGGGCTTGACAAACGGCTCCATCCAGGCGGTCGTGCCTGCCACCGTGCCCTTCCTGTGCCCGGACTTGACCAAGCTGGGAACGAACCTCGGCATGACGCTCTTTTCGGCCGGCCTGGGCATGCTCATAGGCAGCCCCGTGGCTGGTGCCATTGTGGACCACCAGTCTCGCAACGGCACGTCCACCGTGTACTGGGGCGCGTTTTTGTTTGCAGGCGTCACGACACTCGCTGGTGCGTTCCTCATCGTCGTGGTGCGGCACATGAAGGTGGGCTTCCGCCTGGTGAAGGCATAAATCTGCAGCGGAGGAGGTAGAATGAATAAGAGGGTAAGAGAGTATAGCAAAAGCATGCTCGGGTTGAGTTCCTGTCAAGGGTTTTGTACTGTTGCATTTCCTCGGCGTTTGTTCCCTTTTTGTCATCGAAAGGATCTTTGTCTTTTCTCTTCCAGCTGTGTCTTCCTTAGGGGCATCTTGAATTCCAACTAATGAGCCCTTTTTTGCGATTTTAATTACAAAATTATTTCAAGAATGGTAAAACAACAAAATTGATTTCAATCAAAAGCGATGTAAATGTTCATTCCAACGTGTGAAAAAAAAAGCAGTACATGAAACGTTTGTATTCAAAACATATTGTTCATTATCGTGTCATTTGAAAAGTCGAGAAACGACGAGTCAAAGTCGTCCATGAGAGCACTATCAAAACTGCTGGCCATGGTGTAGGGAGCAGCCGTCATGTTTGAGCTAAAGTCGAGCCCGAACATGTCGCTGCCAACTGTAGGTCCGTTTCCACTAATTTCACCAAACTCGGGCGTTGTGCCTACTGACGAGCCAGTGGCGGACACATCGGAAAGTTGGCCGGGACCACGGCCAGCCAATCCCATTGGTATCCAAGCCTGGGGCGCTGCACCCAGTACTACCATTTGTGGCGGCAGTGTACCCGGAGATATGAGCGGCATGGCAGCTGCAGACGTGGTGGGCATCATGGACAGGGCATTATGGCCTGGTAGCAGATGAGGAGCTTGAGTCGTGGCTGCGAAGTGAGCAACGGCGGCGGTCGCGGCAGCGGCATCATCCATACTTATGGCGGAGTCCCGTTCTCTCGAGGTCGACATGGTCTGATTTGCGTGCTTCTCTAGGGCAGTTTCTATTTCGGCAATCTGCTGAGTGGCCGCCTCGACGCCCTTGTCGTAAATATGACCAAAGTCGGAATAGAGACTATTCGTCACCGCGATGGCGACGGCGATAATCATGCATGTCTTTGCTGTAACGGGCCCCAAGTGCGACCTGCCACGCCACAAGTCAAGGAGCCCCGACAGAGACTGGGTGAGCATCTGTTGGAAGATGGACGCAGTGTGCTTTTGTCGTGGATGAACTGAAAATGCCATCGTCTTATCAATGTCATGGCGCCGAAGACGGCCAACAACAACACAGCCAATAAGTGCTGCTCGGCCAGCATCCGTCCACATCAAATGATGGGTCATGGTGCTGGCGTCACTGGCCGCCGTGTTCGGGTAGTCGGACAATTGCAGAGACGCTAGACTTGATGTCGACTTTGAACTAGCCCTCGACGCCCGTCCATCGGATTCTTTTTGCGAGAGAGACTGGAACTGGGTCAAGATGGACGTTGTGTAGTCCCATATCTCAAGAAGCCGAGGCCGTTGTGTTGCGAGATCGTCGGACGGAACCAGCTCGGTCGCCGAGTTGGACAAGATGTAGCTCATCGACACAACGAGAAGAAAGCTGTATATACCGACGGATATCAGGCTGCGTTGTAGTTCGACCGTAGGATCAGACACCGGAGTCCCGGACTGGAGACTTGTTGGGAGTTCTTCTACAAGGGAGGCGAAGCCGCGCTGCAACAGGTCTTGTTGCTCACTGTTGACTAGGGGTTTAGCCGAACACAAGATTTGGTGAATCGGTACCACAACGTTGGCCAACTTGGCGGAGGCATAGTTGAACGAAGCATCGTTCTGCGCACTCTCGTCGTCCACTGTCCACTCTCTTAAGCATTTGCTGATGTTCTCGTCAACCGGCATGGCGGCCAAGGGGGCCTTTAGCACGCTGGCCGACGGCAAGGGGCAGTCGATATCGTCCAGGCGCAGATTGAGTTGAGACCCGGTGCGTATGCAGTATGCGAGGTGCAGCCGCAAATAGCACGCCCAAAGCCGTTTTCGTTGCTGTATGAAGTAGGGCGACGCATCCGGAAATATTTCTGGGCTGCGGTGGAGCCCCATTCTTGTAACGATGTTGCTCGTCAGCCCGAGAAGGCCCATGCAGTCGTATTCCCCATCGATCTCGGAGCCCATGACGGTTCTGACAAGAATGAGCAGCAAAAGAACCTGCAGACTTCCCGTGCAGGGCTTTTGGACACGAGAAGCACGTCGGACAAATTCCTCAACAAGGCACGCCAACTGGCGGCCATGGACACGATTGGCCTCTGACATTTGCATGCCGAGAGCCACCGTCACGAGAATCCGAAGCAGGTAGACAGAGTCCATCGCAGTAGCGTATCCACCTCGTTCCTCTGTCGAAAAAGAGAAGGCCTTGTGCAGATCGCATGTCAACGTGCCCGGGTCCACTATGTCGTAGATACGGCCATAGCTTCGGAAAAAGCGGCCGATCCACAGTTCACAAGACGTCCTGTCCGGAAGCACAGAAAAAAGAAAGGACGCGGTCATCCCGCCATTGGCTGCTAGACTGCCTGCAGGCAACAGGGCCATACCGGTGTTCGCACGACGTAACCGTTCTTTCAGGTCGGCAAACTCTCTCATACACGCATCAAGGCCGTGTGTATGGTTGATCATGGCATTGACTACCATCATCTCGCTGCACGGGGCCATCCAGTGGCTGACACCAATGAGGCGCGTCTTGCGGTTGGATATGTGGACGATATGACCTTGAAATTGCTGCTTGGAATTGTGAGATGGCCTTGTCGGAAGGTCCTGAGTTTGATGCCTGTCTGGTATGGGCAGGGCCGCTGGAGCACGTGTTGAAGCCGGCCTTGGACCAGGAATACTCGACTGAGGCGATGTCGTCGATACTATCCGAGGAGAGGTCTTGTCGGATTCTGTAGAATCTCGTGAACGGGGCGACGGCGGCTTGCTTGTGGACCCAACTGAGGCCGTCTTGGCATGCTTGTATGTGCACTTGGATGCGACACCGCGCTGGGCACATGGCTGACAAGGCACCTCGCGGTCGCAGCGGACCTTTCTTTCACGGCATGGCCTGCAAGACATGACATTGCGGACTCGGGGCCGCTTGCGACCGGCCTTCTTTTGGGCCTCCTCTTCGAACGTATCGGAGCTGAGATGGCTAAAGGTGAGGTCTGCCATCGGCGCTGCTTTGTGATTGGTGGCAGCAGAGGGTTTTGGATGGTGGTAGGAAGCTGAGGTGATCGAGATGATGTAGTGTGAATGATGGTGTGGATGGATGAGGCTCGACGTCGTGCGGCTGAGGATGCAAAGAGGGCGGTTTGATATATTCCATAGAGGGTCCGGACGGTAGCGATGAGGTGCGAATGCGTTTTAGCACCCGCTTTGGACGACGTTGGTTGCTCGGATGCGGCGTAGTGTGCTTTGCAGAGGAAACAGAAGGAACTACCAACAGACAGGCTCAGCAAGGGACAGCGGATGTGACTGCCGTTGTTGGGGTCCAAATCTGGCCCCTTCCTCCCTTTTATTTCTTTAGCACCAGGAACGAAACGGGAAACTGCGATGGGCGACTGGCGTGGTGGTACCAAAATGTTTGAAGAGGAAGGAATGCGCGAAGAATGACAAAGTCTAAGGAAGGTGCGGAGTCTTATCCACGGGTGATCGGCGCTAAAGAATACCGGTGGGCAAGTACCGGCCGTTTTTGAGCTTATTTCACTGGGGAATTAGTGATTGCGATGCGCTGCAGGGGCTAAGCTTGGCGCCTTTTGAGAATTATGGGGTGTAAGAAGCTGACTTCAGGGCGTTGACGATGTCGAATGTGAATTACCTAAAGTGGAAGTCTCGCCATCTTCTACAAGTTTTGGTGGTGGTTAGGTGTTGAGATCTCTAGGCACTAGATAGGCATGACCCCCACGCTTTAGTGATTGGTGCTTTGGTGGCTAAGAGTGCTGTGGCGTCTGCCGACATGTCAGAACATAGCCTGTAGCACGCCATTGCACTTGCCGTTTAAACGGCTTTTCATTCATTGCGGTGAAGGAAGGCACGACTGGCGTAGTGCCGCCGTGCCAGAAAAGGATCCAAAACACAACACAACACAACGCTGGCATCCTATCTTGTTTCTCACGCCTTGTTTTGCCGAAACGCTGCGGCCCTGCAGAACGCAGGTCGACGGACAAGTCACCGCGCACGAACAGGGCTGATGCGTGCATGTGCATCCTTGCCCGGGCCAACCCGACAGGCTTATCAAGCAATACGGTGATCCTCCTGTGCCACTATGGCAATCTTCCAGAACATGGCGGTCGACGGCTATTGCTCACACCATTTGTCTATACGACGCACGTCAGCGGCAGCGGACTGACGGAGTGATTATCGAGTGGCCACGCACATGAAGTAACACGAAAATAGGTCAGTCTAGGCTCCAAGGCCTCTGATGTCTACTGTCAGCTTTCCCACTACCCAGCGAACTACTCTACGACAGCGGAAGGAGACTTGCTGTGGTTGATTGTCCACCAAGAGAGCAGAATCTCACGTTGCTGACCCTTATCGCCTGCAACAGATTGCACTTTGGCCGACGGAGCACCGTGTATGGGTAGCACAGGTACGCCCTGTGCAATGAACCTCCTGGGCCACGCTGATGGGAGTCACAGAGTACGGTGGCATATCGGTCACCCTCATGCATGATCTCATCATCCTCGACTGCCGTTACGAGATACGACCTTGGGCCCGCTGCATGACATCTGGCTTGTCTGGCGTCTGAGAACCAGGAAGCGAGCAGGATCAACGCGGTTGCTGCTCTGGACAGTGACGGGTGCTGCTTATGTGCAGACCAGCCCTGCTGCGGTGAATCTCACGTTTTCATCTGTGGAAACATACTGGCTCTACCACGGCCACTTTCTTTTCCTACCAACCTTTGCTAATTCGTCAGCTTTCTCGCATTTATTTTATTCCACATTCTCATTTGTTTCTATTCTTAGTTTTTCAAATCGACAACACAATACGGCTCCTGTTCTACACCCCCACCCTACTACGACGTGTCTCTATGCATACGCCCCAATCTATGTCTGTGCCTGAACACGACATGATAATGCGAGGGCTGCCAGCATACCGCTTTTGAAGCAGCATCCTTCTTCGACACTCGTCACACTATGCTTGCGAACTGATAACCACGGCTCGGTCACCGCCTCATCTCGTTTGGCAAGAAATGTCCAAACGAGATATTCTTCGGCTGTCAGAATTCGCTGTAGGCAGCCTTCATGTCATCGGCGAGAATACTTGCAGTTGAAAGCCGGCAACTTTAGAGGATATAAAACAAAGAAGGCATGGGCGCTGTGCTACACATGCAACCGACCATACCAGAAAGGCAGGTCAACGCGGCCAATAAATGCGATGGACCGTTGTTCAGTATTCACGACATGAACACGCCCGCAGAGCTATCTCATTTAAGCAAAAAGCTGCGAAGTGTTGTTCAGTCCAACTATCTTTAGCTGAGACATGGCATTCATTTTTAGGTTCCAGCCCTTGTTCTTGGCTCCACCGCTCGGCCATCATGCCATCTCTTGCCCCGAGACACTGCGGGCTATCTCACGACCGAGATGGGCATTGCCCGGTCTCCTCATGATGGTAAAGTGGTCGCCGGGAACCACTTTGCACACGATGTGAGCTCCTGGCAGCAAGTCTTCCCAGCCGTTCGGACCTTTGTCCACTCGCGGGTCCATGATCCAGTCTTGTGCGGCGTTCACGCCGATAGTGCCCCTCTGCTTTCGTCGGTATTGGTCCTGTACCGCCTCGCCAACAGTTTCCCACACGCCATCACGCGCCCACAACACCGTGACCAACTGTGGCACAGCCCAGTGCGGAACCGGAGCCGGAATGTATTGCTTGAGTGAGTTTACAGACCCAGCAAAATGATCCCGGACGCCTTCTCGCATCTTGTTGGCCCGTCCCTTCAGTCCATCAAACGCACCGATCGTGTCAAGAAGGTCAATTGTTTCCGCAGACAGTGGTGGCAATGAATTGGGACACGGTGCGTCGATCAATACCAAGCTGGCCACCTTTTCATTATGACGAAGAGCAAGTTGCGAAGCCACTTCGAAGGCATATGAACCGCCGATGGACCAGCCGCCCAGGTGGTAGGGACCACGGGGCTGTATCTTGAGGATCTGGCTTATGTATGCACCAGCCACGTCCTGGAGCGATGCGGTAAAGTCCTCGGGATTGCCCAGAAAGGGGCTGTTGAGGCCGTAGACGGCGCCCTTGAGACCAATCGGCGGCAATCCGACATAACTGCTGGCACTGCCTGACCCGTCTGGCAGCAGAAACAGGGCTGCGGCGCCAAGACCCGGACTTCCCTGCAGCAGGATGGCCTCTGCTTGATAGGACGCTGCGCTGCTCTCTTTGGACACACACAGCGATGCTGCTTGGGCGACGGCTTGAGCGATTTCCTGCGGCGACGTGTGCGACTGCCCGCCCAAGACTTTCTGAATGTCACCGATCGTTTGGTGGTCGAGAAGGAAGCTTGAAGGTAGGACGCGACCCGTCTGAGACTTGATGGTGCCAAGAATTGACAGAGATAGAAGGCTGTCGACGCCCGAATCAGCCAGCGGCGTGTCGTTCTCAATCTCGGACGGATCTACACCCACTTCGGCGGCAATGATTTTGCGAAATAGCTCTGTGGACTGGCCGTCGGCAGAGTCCGGGTTGGGTGTCTCGCCAAAGCTGCTAACCGGCGTATACGCCTGCCTGGGCGACTCATTGCTGCTGGCACCGCTGTCGACGTCGTCGTCATCGTCATTGTCGTTATTGCCGAGGTCTGACGGAGGCGATATATTTTCCAAAGGCCCGGTGCTACACTCTTCAGCAAAGTAGCTGCGGAATTGGCTGACGCCAAGGTATTCTGTGAACAACGTTGCTGGCAGCTGGCGGCCGAGATGAGTGCTGAGCTTGGCAGTGATGCTGATGGCCAGCAAGCTATCCACGCCGAGATCAGCAAACCAAGCATCATCTGTGAGCTCGGACACGTCGATGCCCACTTCGGATGCGACGACGTCGAGAATCTGAGTAAAAACAGCGGTATCTGCTTGGGGAGGCGCTGCTGACTTCGGCGTTGGCTTTGTCGCAGTCTTACCACGTGGAACAGTTGGTCGTGAAACCTGCTGTAAGACCGGCTGGTTTGTGGCTGCCTGGTCGTTTCCGGAAGGTAAAAGATATGGCAGGATTGAACGCTTGACACGCTGGAACTTGAGATCCTCGCACACGGCGACAACGTCACCACCGTCGAAAAAGTACACATCGCCTGACAGGACGCCACGACTCCCAGTCTCCTCCTGCATGCGGACATAGCTTTGATACGACTTTTCTGCTGACAGTTGACCGACGACTTTCAGACTGCCCCAGCCGTGCGAAATAAAGACTGAGTCGGCCGGTGTAGTGTCGGCACCATTGAGGATGAAGCCGGACAAGTGGGCAAGGCCGTCGATCCAGTAGGGGCTCAGCGTAAAGGTACCGTCCTCTGCCTCGTTGGTCAGGAACTGCACCTTGGCGGCTGCCTCGAGCTCGTGGCTGTCCATGTACACCTCTTCAAGGCCTTGATACTTGGGTGCATAGTCGACAAACGCCGCGAATAGCTTGTACACCATGGGCCGCAGCAGCTTATGGGCCTGACCACGGCCGGACGCCTCGACGAGCTGGGCCATGCGCGACCGGACAAGATAGGCATTGCGCTTCCACACAGACTGCCATGCAGAGCCGTCGCCGAAGACGACCTCGCAGTGGGCATGCTCGACCTCGGCGCCGTCGGGGCCGTCTTGACTGCTGAACGTGACATACACTGTGTTGGCTGACGTATCCCATTTTGCAGCCGTGCGAATGACCTGCTTCGTCTCGCCAGGCTGCACGAGCAGCGGCTTATGGATGCCCATGTTGTGTACGTCCATGCACATCTCAGGGTCAATGGGTGAGAACGACGTGGCGCTGTTGGATTGTGAGAGGCGGCGGATGTAGACGGCGGCAGTGAGTGCCATGTCGCCCAAAATGGAACTGGGACAAAGTCCGGCCCCGTTGACCAGATGACCGCGCAGCGCCTTGTTGAGCTTAGGCTCGATGGCATCCGTGGCGAATGTGACCGCAATCCTGGCATCACCAATGGTTTGCGACACGATGCGATGGATGCCAGTGGTCGCCTT